TAAAACACATCGGAGTAGGACGCACACCCCCTCGCAGCACCGTACTCTCCAACCCGTGGTTTTATCAGTTTCAGGAGAATTCCAGAAGGCGCAGCATGTACCGACGGCCAAGCGCTCCGATGTTTGCATTTCATTTGAGACCGATAGTACATCTACGGCGACGACCGTCAAAAGGTTAACAGAAATATGCTCATTACCGTTTCAATTCATGAAAACCAACATATGGTGGATTAGGAACTTTCTGAGCGTCATCGAAAACCACTAAATGGGTCAATTTTAGCAAGGCTTGGAGCACCGGAGCCTTCCACCGTGGGAAGCACGGTGGAAGGCTAAATTTAACACTCGTGCAGCAGGAACAAGGTGTGTACTGATACGATAACACGCCCGCGCGGTTTTTTGTCTCTTCCACGTTTTTTCCCCCCAGCCTTGTGCCTGTTGCACACGAACGGTAACTTTACGCACTAGCATAGGCTAAAGCACTGGTGCGCTTCCCACGCTCACAAAATCGTTCTAGATGTTACCGATTTAGAGTTTTTAGAGCGCAGCTCATAGGGGCCCGTTTCCGGCTTGAGCGGCGTCGGCGTCGCCGTCGCCGTCGGCGTTAAGCGCGAAACACATGTACGACGAAACCGTCCGATCCGACGTCCGACCGCGCAATACGACGGTCGGAGGCGAGGGTTTTCAACGCTCTCCGATGCAACGAAAACCCTCTCCCCCCAAGGTCATTGCGGCAGTCCGCACGTCGGATCGGACGGTTTCGTCGTACATGTGTTTCGCGCTTTACTGCGCGGTGCATTATGGGAAATGTCCCATAATGCACCGCGCGAGCCCCCCACTGGGGTCACGTGACCTCGTGGGGGCACGTGACCCCCCCGAGGTCACGTGACCCCCCGAAGTCACGTGACCCCCGATGACGTCATCGTCACTGATGACGTCACCGGCATCCACATCGTCATCATCACTGATGACGTCATCACCACTGATGACGTCATTAGTGACGTCACTGATGACGTCACCGGCATCCACATCGTCATCATCACTGATGACGTCACCGGCATCCGCATTGTCATCGTCATCATCACTGACGACGTTACCGACATCCGCATCGTCATCGTCATCATCACTGATGACGCCATCAGTGACGTCACTGATGTCTTCACCGGCATCCGCATCGTCATCGTCATCATCACTGACGACGTCATCAGTGACGTCATTGATGACGTCACCGACATTCGCATCGTCATCATCACTGGTGAAGTCATCAGTGACGTCACTAATGACGTCATCGGTATCCGCATCGTCATCGTCACTGATGACGTCATCAGTGACGTCAGTGATGACATCTTCGGCATTGGGGGGTCACGTGACCCCCCCTGGTTAGTTGAACCCCCCCCCCCCCCAGTAATCTTCCCTCCTCCTCCTCAAGAGCTGCGCTCTAATTCGGCGTTACATGGAGTTGTAAGCGGCTTTCACTTTTTTTTGATGACGCTCAGCAAGTTTCTATTTGGAACGATATGTTGATAATGGAATTAGTGCAAAGGTGTAAGGGAGCTGAACAAGAATAGCGATAATATTCCCAGGAGAAGGGGAACAAAGGGGACAACGATGCTTGTCCTTTGTCCTTCTCCAGGGATTATTTTCGCTATTCTTGTCCAGCTCGTTTGCACCTTTGCAATATTTCCGTTATCATCGTCACCTTAATATATAGTCCGTTCACCCATTGGTGTTAGACTGGTGGCAGCTTTTTGCTCTACTGACGTCTAACTCCTGGTCAGATCAGTTGGTAGGGCGCTCCACTGGAAATAGAGAGGATCTTGGTTTGATGCCGGGACCAGGCGGATCTTTTCAGTCGCGCCTCAGTCACCTAGTCGTGTTTGGATATTTGTGTCGGTCCTTTGTCCCCCTTTTTCGGGTATTATTATCGCTACCCTAGAAAACTGCGTACTTTTACCAATTAAAAAGTGAATCGACAAATTTTAGTCACAATTATTGAACTTATCTTGACGATTATGCCCCCACATTATGTCCCCCTGGCCGTGTAACTCACCTATCCAAACCGGATTATTGTAGCTTTCACGGATATTTTTTTATCAAATCTTTTAAGTTTCATTTATCAATATCAATGAGTTTTGCTCAGTGGTTGTTTGGCGCCACACGTATGCTAGGTCATTCTCTATGCGTGTAAACGACCCGTCACATTTTTATGTGTGAACGCTACATCATTTTAACGTGTCATGAGAAGTCGTTTCTTTTTTTTTTTTTTTTTTTTCGCGAAACATTAAATTTTTGGCATCGTCGTTGTCGAGAGCCCAATGGGCGCGCTCCGTAAACTTCGGCCAAAACTTTGCGTTCAACGAGTCGGGCCCCTGAACTGTACTTCGGAGTCCGTGGCAGGAGCAAGTTCCCCCCCCCCCCCCCTCCTCCTTTCCCCTCCTTACCGCACTCGATTCGCATACGTCATACGAAAGACAGTCTGCAGATACAGTCTGGGCCGCGTTTCTTCCTTGTATGACGATCCTAACACATTGATCATACAAAAAAAAAAAAAAAAAATACATTAAGCGCCATTCACACTCTTGCGACCGAGTAAGACCGAGAGAGACCAGACTGGTTTTTAAGCCTCTTGCGACTTCTTAGGACCGGATGCGCTGCAGCGGAACTGGTCCTAAGAGATCGCAAGAGGCTTAAAAACCGTCTGCTCTCTTTCGGTCTTACTCGGTCGCAAGAGTGTGAACGGGCCTTATTTAAGCTTCGCCTTTAAGAGTGGAACGCGATAGCTAAGTATAAATGCCCGCTCGTTCCCGAGCCGTTCAAGCGTATCTGCACGACCTAAATGCATTTCCCTCTAAATTTAGCGGTAAAATTGATACCACGAGACCTATACACGAATTCAGTTACCCACTAAATTTAACGGGAAAATTTATGTCTTCTGACCTAGGCACCGATTCAGTTTCCCGCTGATTTTAGCGGGGGAAATTGACGTCACGTGAGCTGACGTCACGTAAAACAGCCATTCAGTTTCTCCGCTAAATTTAGCGGAATATATCCGTCAAGTGACACAACAATTACCTCACCAATTCCCTATAAGGCATATCATGCATTATTCAACTTTACAAGTAAAGGTCGCTGCCAATTTTTTTTCGTTAACGTACTAACATATTTGTTAGGTTTTTTTTTTTTTCGAAATAGCAACGAATAACGTAATTACGTCAATTAGTTGGAGTAACGTTACTCCTTACACTTCTCCAAGGCTGAAAAAAAAAGTTAACTCCAATTTGCTCACATGCTTCTAGGCGCCAAGTCACACGAATTCTTGCACTCCGTCACACATACCTTCAAAACTAAAACCGTAAAAAAATTAAAAAAAAAAACAAGGCAATTATGTTCAGTGTGACGTCAAAAAAGTACGGGCTTTGAATACATAAATAAAAAGCACAGTTTCGCAAAAATAACTTCGTTACTTTTTTATTGGGAAAAAGCAACGCGTTCCTTCTATTCTGAAGTAACGCGGGTCTGTAACGCGTTCCTTTTAGTTGCAAGTAACGTATTTCGTTACTTTTCTTTTTTTTTTTTTTTTTTTTTCTCCCGGTAACGCGTACTACACTGGTACGTAATCAGTGCCTCGAAACGGACGTTTATGCTTTTTGTTTTCCGGGAGGTGTTCACCCAGCCGGACGCAAAACTTGAGCAACTCTCATTTTCATTGTCTGCTGAAAATTCGCTGACGTCACATACGTTGAATAGTAGCGACGCCATGAGTACGCGTTATCTATTATCGCAGAGTTAATTCAGGATGCGACGCGGCACTTGCCTAAGCGATGAAAGGGTAAGTCACTCGCACACCCTAAGCGTCTCCCATTGTTTCCCCAGGCGTGCCAAAAGAGCGAGGTCAGCATAAAAGTTTCAATTAATAGGGGGTCATTAAGGTCCCACCGGCTCTTGATGAAGATGTCGTTGTTCCGTCTCGTACGCGCCGCCACATACGACGACGTCTATTAGGATCGTGCTAATCGTTTCCGCATTAAAAGAACTGCCACCGCTTCCGAAACGTGCGTCGATGCTGGAAGCTGTTTAAGTTGGCATTTTCCTGTCTGTACTTCTCTTAATTGGAAGAATATTTACCGCGCCGTGTCGGAAACATATTAAAGAGTCGTAGCACGAAGTGTTGGTAGTGAATCAAGTGTATAAATCTAGACACGCGTCTGTACAACACGAACCGCCTTAGAATGATCTTCGTTCTACAACTAAAGGATCTGTCAGCTTAGGAAATTTTTGTTGTTGTTGTTGTAAATAAATAAATAAATAAACAGATATGGTCATGACGGTATCTGCGTGTAACAATTCGTGCGTATTCAAAACCGCGCTGTTGTCATCATCAAGATTGTAGATCTTTTGCTTCGCGAGCCCATATTCGAAACGCTATGAAGCCCTAAAAAGGCTGGCGTAAGTTATCCGTGATTTCAGTTAAGATATATAATATGTACGTGAAATCTGGCAAGGAGTTCATGACTCCACCTTCATAAAATGTCTCGTCTAACCTCTCGGCTCAGTTTCTGAGCTATGCTATCACCAGGTTGTTAAGCACTATGTCGACTCAGTGACTCATTCATATGCCTGCCGTTCGAAACAGTGGTTCAAGTTCTGCAACCTTCACGAGTGAGGGTCACATTCGACGTGGAGTTACAAACTCCTTGCCTGGGTGTAACCATGAGCACTTGAAGTAGGTTGAAAGAAGCATGCTCAAAGGGAATATAGTATATGCTGCAACACTCGATCTGCACTATAGCTGGGCATGTAGTTCCTACAAGCGTTATCACATCTGAAATTGTCATATCTAAAAGATTAAGACCTAAGGTTTGCATTTTAACGTGCGTTTAAGCCAAAACCCTTTTTTTTTTTTTTTTTTTTTAAATCTTGCCGATACGCTTAAAAAGCCCTGGAGGGCTGTTTCAGGTCACCTTCTCAACGATGGTGCAACACAAGCAGCGCACAAGCCTCACCTCAGTTTCGTTGCTGACACCAGCTGACTCATCTTCGTCTGCTTCATCATCTGGGTACTCAACAGCCTTGTCGGGCTCCGGGAGCACAGACTTCTGAAGAGTGTCCAACTTAGACGGCGACACAGACACAGACTCCGGAATCGCTAAACTGTCGTTTGACAGACGCACCGCTGACGTCTGCTTGTCGTCTGCCACGACCTGCTGAAAAAAGCAGACGACGCAGACCGTTGCCAGAGTCGTGCTCGCACGCAGAAACATGGCTGTCAACTACACACGTCTTGCCTGCTGGCCGTGCTTCGACGGTTCTGTGTGAGCGACTTGGCAACAGAAAACTCGTCCTGTCCTTTTTACGAATATTTTTGGTTTCTTTCCCCGTAGGGGCGAGGGTGTTGACGCGGGAGAGGGGGAATCGTGAGAAAGGGGGTGCGCTGTTTTAAAGGGGCAAGTGGGTGCTGGGAAGGGAGATAGAACACGTTTCCGTCTCTGGAGTCCCTATGTAGGCCTCGTTAGACGAAGCACCTGGAGGGACCGGAGGGTGGGGACAACTGCGGCGGCCCTAATCCTCGCTGCCATTTTTGCCCGTCTGTGGAACCATTTTGTGTAGCCCGCGACGGCGATGACTGAGGGAAATTAAGTGCCGTTCTCTTATTTTGCTCTAGCGGCACTAACGCGACAAACAGAAGCAACCGACACAGACAACGTGAACGCATTGCTATCTTTGACAGTCTTGCAACCACTCGTGCTTACTTCACGAGCACCCACCGAGAGGTTGAGAGAGATAGCAAACGTCAATTTTCAGCCCCTTGACTCAAGCCTGCCACCATATATCCGTAAACATGGTGCACCTTTTTTTTTTTTTTTTTTTTTTTTTCGTTGTCAGTTGTTCTAAAATGTGGCTCTATTGGGCGAAACAAAAAAATGGTTGTGGGTATGTTTATACAGCCTTGAAGTTAGGCTGCGTTCAACGAGTGACTGTTCTCTCAGCTGAGTAATCTCAGATGAGTAATTTAGCCAGTGCAGTACAACCGCTAACTTAGCATCTTAAAGGAGCGGTGCAACGATGTTCAATTGGAATGTTTTTCACTTTACACGAGCTTACTGGCACTAGTGGGACTCAAGGATACTCGCACGCAACGCCACTGACCAAGAAACTCCTTTGTTGCGCAGTAATTTCGAGGACAAAACCGAGTGTTTTCATTCAATCTCTCCTTCGCAAAACCTGACGACGTAGATGGGCGGTAGCAGTACCGCCCAGTGACGATATTTGAATGCGGCTCATAGATTGGACCCGAGCATTGCGTGAGCACTCGATTTGGGCTCGTGATAATCGATAGCTCGACAACCATTGAGGTAGTGGCCCGTGTCCAATCGCTGCAAGTTGCAACGACGACAGTGAGCCGATCCATAACAATGTCTGGAACTCAGCGCGTGACCTGTGCCTTGCCAACCCCAGCGCGTGGCTATGATCAGCATTGGCGGCATATAATCGGCTCCAGATCACGTGGCCGCTTGTCCTGGCTGCGAGTTGAGGGGGTGAACGCTGCTCGTTTTTCTTTAATTTTTTTCTGGGACTTCTATTGCGTGGAGTGAAAAACGAACCCGTGTTTCATTAATGATAAACGTCAGGGGTCCCTTCTAAGCGGTATTTGCACAAAGTACAAAAATTGTTGCATCGCCCCTTTAACGTGCACCTTGCAGGTAGTGACTCTATTGGCGACGTAAGCGCGGTCGAAAACGTCGCAGTGCTTGGCCAGTTACGATTGCTCGAATACGGACTATGACGTCAGCAAAGGATTTGATGACGTCATAGTCAGCATGAGTGATGCTTCAATTTTGACGGTGTTGGCAGTGTTGCTTTCAGTGCGCAATGATTTCAAGTTTCCACCATGCTAATTACAAACACAATCGAACTTGTTGTTGTTCGATAGGTAATGACGTCACGAGAGAGAACCATAGGAGGCCGCCGCCAAAATATCTAGCCCTAATATACGACTCTGATCTAGCCTTGGAAAAGTGGCGCCATTCATTGTTGTGGAAATGCTCAAGGCACGTGCCGCGTGCCACTTCTGGGAATAACATGGCGTCTGGAACCTAGCTCAGTGCTGCGCTGTGCCGCCATGATCTTCCCAAGGGCTGCACGTTGCACGTGCCTCGTGCATCGACGCATCTTCCGCTACTTTTAAAACACGAAGGGGCTTTAATCTAGCCGCCAACAGTTGGGGACAACTTTCCTTGGCAATGAAGGCGAAGTTATGGGGACCCTGCGCTGTGGCCGCGCGGTCGTCTCTTCTTCGGAAATGCCAGAAAAAGTTGTCACGAAGTATAATACACTCAAGCATAAAAAAAAACTTTAAATGTTTTTTTTTTTTTTCTTTTTTTTATGTGTAGGTGCTAAAATGACACATAGCCTTTGGTATCGAATAATAACATTCTGGAGACTTTGTTTTACCTTTTTAAAAGCGTCATCGTTATCTTCTCCAAACCAAATCCCGTATTGAACGAGCTAACTAGACCAACGTCTGCTGTGACAACATGCTCGAAGCTAAGATTCCAAACATTAATGGCAAGCACGTCCCACGGACTCACAGTTAACAGCTGTGCTTATTTCAGCGCACCCTAAAGTAGCCGACAGGCAATGCTACCCGTATTCGAACGCAATATGGCGCCCTAAAGTTCACGTCAAGTGGCAGAACTGCAGCTTCTCGTTTAAATCGAATTAATCCGTCGTCTGTTATCACGCTGAAATAAAAAAAAAAAAAAAAGTGGACGCGCCATTGTGGTTTTGAGCCAATCCAACTGGAAGCCATAATTACTTACCATTTTCTTTGCAATTTTAATAGGCGGCAATAAACGTTAACATTAAAATAAAGATTCTTAAATACGACCTCGCGTAGAAGATGCGAGCGCTATTTTTCTCACAGGGAAAGCTCCAAGGGTATCCCCCATGTAACCCGGAAGACAGGTGCCGTGATCCCTTTTCCAGTGTTCAAAACTTTCATGAAGTAAGAGCTGCTCTGCCTCCATTCCACAGATTTATGTCTGAGTATTATGTTCATGCTTCATCACAACCGTAGCGATTCACGACCCCAAAGCCAGACCCAATCTATCCTTTTGAAAATGCTGCGAAATAAGAAGCAGCGACGTGATGACACTTCCGGTTATCATTAGTCTATTTGGGCACCGATTCCGGTGAGAATTTGTTCATGACCATTGATCATATTTTTGCAATCAAGCCTAACATCCAAGACACTAATCTGTTGTTGTTGTTTTTTATGACATAATTTCACTGATCTTACAAAATCGGAAGGTTCATTGCATTAACAGTTTCAAGAGCACGCACGACTACAAGCATTTCTCTACGGTCCTCATTGCTAACGCTGAAATGGTGTATTCCGAGCCGAGCAAACCAATTCCTCGTTGTGGCATAGAAAGCGTATTTACCACCCAAAGGGCAACCGATATAATACTATAAACCTTCTTGGGTGTCTTTCACGCAAGGAAGATTAGCCCACCACGACAGAAGTCTACTGTGGAGACCGCCATTCTGTTCTGTAACATGAAAAACGAAACAAAAAAACTTTGGGGTTGCTTTGATATAGTTGAACGTGAGCGAGCGTTGGTTTTGAAAACGTGTTACAAAAAGAATACACAAAAAGGACGAACAAGGACGGACAAGGAGATGTCCGTCCTTGTCCGTCCTCTTTGTTTATTCTTTCTGTAACGAGTTGTTTTGGTAACCGCCTCCTGCGCGCTGCCATCTTTGTCTGCTGGGCTGAGGAATGCGTTCTGAGCATGCGCAGTAGCTCTTTTCTGCAGAATGTCGGATGCCGTGCTCGCATCCACAGCCAATGAGTCGGCACTTTTCGCGTAGGTTTTAACGTGTATATAGTGCTGAACTTTGACACTAATACGCTACGAAACAAACAGCCTTCATCTGTTATAAGTCTCGTTGTCCTACTTGTGGAAACTGTCCAGAGCTAAGGAGCGTCACTCGTAAAATACGCTTGGCGGAGCAGCATCAAAACAGGAAAAACTCTTATCTATTCTGTCAGAGACCAAGCGCGGATCAAAGTTGCACCAAAGCGATGACGTTAATTATCGCAAGTACGTCATCACCTCTTTCTCGCCGCTCTGCTTCACTCTTTCTATATTTCCCTCCCTCTCTTTCTCCATTCCCCACAACACCTCTAAAACAACAAGGCCGTATAGTGCTGTATGCCTGACGTCACCTACAAGAGGTAAACCCGAAGCACGCATTGAATACGTGTTCTGTGACGTCAGTGTTAGGCTGAGACTCGTCTGATTGAACGCCAGTCCCAGGCCAAATGCCGACGTAGCTCTCGTGACCGATCTCTGCCCCGTGTTGGCCTCTTGTAGGTGACGTCAGACATTCAACGCTACGCCCTTGCTAGCTAGGAGGTGACGTACCTCAATAGTCTGCTTTGAAGTCCACCCATACCGCTATTGCTCATGTCATCTACTTTTCTGTATACTTTGCTGTCTACCCTACTGTCTACTCTGCTGTCAGCTTTGCAGCCCACTTTCTGTTTTGTCGCCGTCGCTTGGGAAGGTCACAAGCCGCGTTGCTGACTGTCCTTCCTCTTTACTCGGAATCGCTCGTTGATGTTTATCTGTTGATGACACTTCGTCGTTCTCGTTATGGGAGGACAGTGAAAACAAGAGCTCGACATTTTTCCCCGGGAAACCCGTGCCAGGAGTGTCACACCGGCGGATCGTTGTTTCGGCCTCCTCGCGACCGGGATTCTTGTTTTTCGTTAGTTTCGGTTTCGGGTCATCGTCTGCGACTCGCGCATTCCTTTCTCGTTCGCATTTTTTTTTTCTTTTTTTGGAACTAAGCGTGACTGGTACCACTGTACGTGTACCACTTTTTCTTTTGTTTGTTCAGATCTCCCTTCAAATACACAATCTATCAACGCAAAACAAGTCCATCGCCAGATAACGAGAAATGATACAGCATTGGCGATGATCGCACACCACGCGCGCACTTTGCAGGCCGCCATCTTTTATTTCCTGTTGCTCCAGTGTTGCCTGGTCACGTTTCTTATTTATTTAGGATATTTAGGGAAGGAAACAGCTCCCTGCTTGAAAATATAGTCGTTGACAGGCTACGCTCGCTTTATGGTTTTTAATAACGCTTCGCCGCACGCGCAGTTAAAGCAGACACTTCGCGAACACGCGCTCTAGCGCGTGTTCGCGAAGTGTCTGCTTTAACTCCCCTAGCGGAGCCTCCATTGCGT